CACAGCTTGAACACCTGTTGTCTGTTGATGTGTGAGTTTCAGCTAGTAAGTATATTCGTAATAATCCTACGTCAATCTCTTGACAAAACGAGCACAATTATTCTTAAATTTCTTAATCTGTGATGATTATCCGAATTATATATCTTGTAGCTGCCACGTGGGTAGCTTAACAGTGTTTCTTTTCCTTTTGCCACGTGTAAGGCCCAATTCAGATAAGGCCTTTACTGGGCCTAAGTTCTTGTTGTTTGATTAAAACTTTTTAACCCGAAGAAGACAATAATTATTTTTTTTTCATCAAAGAGTTACAAATTTTTTTGAGTTTTTGATTGAGCAGCCGTTTCCTGCAGTAATTTCGACAAAAGCGTGGACCAATTCTGGATTTTCAAAGCTGAAGAAGATCTCGAAACGTTGAAGAAGAAGAATCCGTTACTAATGGTGATCGATGATGCTTTTTGAGTTGTGTGTGTTTTTGTCGGATTCTGAATTTTGCTGCGTTTTGTTTCTCTGTCGCCCATTACTCAGACAGGAACCGAAAACTGTTTTTCCTTTTGTTCCTCTCTCTATGTGATCGCTTTTTGTAGAATTGTTTGTCCGTGATTGTGTATTGCTGTTTTAGTGTGATCGTAAGGTGAGGAATGAGAATTGGGAACAATTGATATCTATCCAACTGCATTTGTGATTGGTTAAAGGATATCAAATTTCCGGTCTGTATTGAGTGTAGGCTTTTGCAAAGCTAATTTCTTTCAATATCCTGAAGGATTGTTCTTTAAAGTTGACCATGTTGTCTTACTCTGCCGTTTGTTTGTTTGTTCATAGTTAGAGGCGTTGAAGGATGCAATTTTTGAGGAAAGTGAAGGAATGAAAATGTGCATTTCTTCGTAGCACAACTTTACGCCTGCATAGACAGTAGATAACAGATAACAACAACCTGTGGCTATCTATATACCGTGGTAGGTGCTTTTGTTCTCAGGTCTGAACCAATAAAAACAATCAACCTCAAATCCTTACCTGTTTGACATTTCTCAAATTAAGTACATTTCTCTTTCAAGATACAGTGGAACTATGAGAAGACCCAGTCAAATGATGAGGCTTCTTCTAACATCCTTTTTCGGGCTTATAGTCGGTTTCCTTATGGGTATTACTTTCCCAACCCTTACCTTAACTAAGGTAAATATAAACATCTTCTACACCTTTTTCCATTCATTTTAAACTTGGTTATGTGTGTCATTGCTTACGCAGTCTACTTGTTTTACAATTGGTTAGATGAATCTTCCATCCACCTTGTTTCCCTCTATTGATCTTGCATACATTGAGGATAAGTACTCAGACTTATCCAGACAAAGACTATTTGGTTCTTGGTCTTCCACAAAGAGCCTCAAACTCAACCAAGACATTCCTGATCCCCCCTATGACTATAATGACACTAAGGTTCAATTAGTTGCTCCGTTTCTTATTAGATTCTCTATGTTTTAGTAGAAAGGTGATGACAGAACTTTCGAGCTGTTGCAGATATGGGTTCCTACTAACCCCCGTGGTGCTGAGAGGCTACCCCCGGATATAGTCACGCCTGAATCAGATTTTTACCTTCGTCGGTTGTGGGGCGACCCTAATGAGGTCCATAACTTTTAATCAACTGGCTTGTATTGCATCAATATGGCTGAAGATCATGACATTTTTCGTTGGTATGGAATGCAGGATATAGCAATTAAGCAGCGATATCTAGTAACATTTACGGTTGGTTATGATCAGAGAAAAAATATAGACGCTGCGCTGAAGAAGGTATCCTGCTTCCTGTTACATTTATTCAATCCTTCTCCTTTTCTCATAGCCTAACTTTACATTTCTCAGTTCTCAGATAATTTCACTATAATGCTGTTTCACTACGATGGTCGGGCCAGCGAATGGGAAGAATTTGAATGGTCCAAACGAGCCATTCATGTGAGCATTTGGAAACAAACAAAATGGTTAGCAGCTAATATAGGAACTTCAATTATCCTCCTCTTAGGAGTTTCTATATACTAACAGATTTGCCAAAAATATCCCTGAAGGTGGTACGCCAAGCGATTTCTTCATCCTGACATAGTTGCCCCCTATGAATATATCTTCATATGGGATGAGGATCTTGGCGTGGAACACTTTGATTCGGAAAAGTATGTTTCTGAAGCTTTTGACTTCCTTCCAATTGGCATTCCAGGTTATGAACATGAAATTTCTACGACAGATATCTCACGGTGGTGAAGAAACATGGTTTGGAAATCTCGCAGCCTGGGTTAGAGCCATATGAAGGGCTCACATGGGAGATGACAAAGAAAAGAGACGACACTGAAGTCCACAAGTTAGGATAATATATATAATATAGTTCCTAAGCTCTTTTTCTACCTTGGCGGTGTTCGTATTTACCGGCTTGCACTTACTCAATACCTCCTCTTATATTTGTTGCAGGCATGCTGAGGAGAGGAATGGCTGGTGCAGTGATCCAAATTTACCCCCTTGTGCAGCGTATGCTACTTTACTTATCTGTAATACTATAAATCACTAACTTAGCAAAATAGATTTGTATAGAGAGTGAATATTTTCATCGTTCTTGCTATCTAACCCACAATCAGGTTTGTCGAGATTATGGCTCCTGTTTTCTCCCGCAAGGCATGGCGCTGTGTGTGGCATATGATTCAGGCATTTAAAATAACCATACTCTAATTCCTCTTAGTTTAATTGACTAGCATAATTGTTCTCTGTAACAAATACCAATTGTTACCTTGTAATTGCAGAACGATTTGGTTCATGGATGGGGTCTGGACTTTGCGGTTAGGAAATGTGTTCAGGTCTGAAATTTTACTTCCCTTTGGACACATGCATATGCATACTTAATCTCTCTTGTGGATTCTACACACACTCGTTTTATATGCTCATTCATCTTATTCGCTTTAAACAGAATGCGCATGAGAAAATCGGGGTTGTAGATGCTCAATGGATTATTCATCAAGGTGTTCCATCACTCGGGAACCAAGTACGCTCTCAAATCTCTCATCCCTTTATTTTGTGGTTGACAACACTAAGGTTTTGCATTTTGTGGAGTGTCCTTGGATTTTATACGACAAAACTAATCCACTGAATACATCATAGGAAAATTAGTCGCTTGCATTCGCAAGACCTTAGAGAGAAGCTGTATTATATAGCTTGTCCATTGCATCTTCAATGAATAAGTTCTGTCTACATTTCTCAAGTTCAAAAAGTAGTAAAAATGCATTAGTAATATATTTTTCACACCCTCTATAAAAATATAACTGCATTGAACACAATTGTTAATCTCCATTTTTTTTGTGCGTCTAAAATCTGACAGGGACAACAAGAGCGAGGGAAACAACCATGGGAAGGGGTAAGTAAATATCGATACAAGAATGAATGAATCAACACATGCCCGAGTCTTTTTCATCCTTCATTTCATTCGGTTGATACATGAGGATCCTCTCACATATGTAGTTGAAGATATAATAAACGCTTATCTATCTGATGTTTATCTTTATTCGCGTTTCTAGGTGAGGGAAAGGTGCAGGAGAGAGTGGACTATGTTCCAGGACAGATTGGATAATGCAGAAAAAGCTTACTTTGAAGCAACTGCTCACAACAATGTTTCTTCACGGCTTCACCGGTAAAATCATTCTTTTAAAAATGAAAAGAGACTCTAACTTCTAGCTTCTGCTCTATTTGCTTTGCCATGTTAATTTTGCTGCAAGAGCTGTGCTTTGATTTTGTGTTTCTGTTAGAGACAGTTTGTTTTCTCCGGTCTGGTCAGAAAAGAGAAAACAAATTATATGCACATTCATTAACCTCTCCTTCTACTTCTCTCTTTAGTCCTTTTTTCTTTCTGTTAAATCCTATTACTGTTATGAGAATAATAGGTAAGCATATTTTGGCTTTCACTTATATCAATTTTATAAACTATAAAGTACTAACTCCACATCTCATTTAACCAATTACATTTTGAAAAACAAAAAAATCCATTTTGAAGCTATTCTGTTCAGGACGGTGTAAATATCGTTTTCATTTCTTTTAATATAGGGTTAATTACTAGAATAGACTTGACAAATGGACTAATTATTAGAATAGTTTTGACAAAATATCAAAATACTAAGAAAGGGTTTATAATACATATAAATCAGGGTTATGTTTTGTTATTACAAAAATGTCATTTTTGACAAAAAA